GTATGTATGTATGTATGTATGTATGTATATGTGTGTGTATGTGTGTGTGTATGTGTGTATGTGTGTATGTGTGTATGTGTATGTGTGTGTGTGTGTGTGTGTGTGTGTGTGTGTGTGTGTGTATGTGTGGGAAAGAGAATCAACAAAAGGAAAAAAATTACGTTTCGAATTCACGATTCCAGTATTCCAATGACATGTATGTATTTGGGTTCCAATGCATTATACTCAGGCGCGGTTCGTCCATAGAGCACGGTCGTGCAGTGCCGCCCAAAATGTTTCTATATTCTATTATAAAAACACCCTCAATAATAAAATAAAAGACGTCAGAAACAAACACTAGCCAAATATTATATCAAAACAAGGTCCTCTCTGGCACCATACTGTCATGTCTGTGTCTATAGCGCCGTAAGACATCTACTATGCCATGCCAAAGTCCACGCGCTTCAGCTAAACATAATAGGATATTCAACAGTGTGACTTGACCTATAAATCGCTCTTGGAGATAACCCAAGCGATGACGACACTCGTAGCGAGTATGGCGGTACATTAATATAAACAAGACGGCACATCTCAAGTGTGCTCCCTCCGAATAGTGCCGAAACATAGCCCACGGTAGGCAGTCTAAAAATAAACGCGATAGACCGTACGCTATTCTTTGCCAATATTATGTGAGCCCCGGAGCAATCCAGGGCAGTGCTCAAGTGAATTGTGACTGGTTCATTGTCTGTGTTGCCACTATTTTAAGTGACTCTGTGACCGTGAACCTGAGGGAGGTGAACGTGACCGTCCTATGAGTTGTGCCTTTGAATGGTTTTGTAGTGGAGTAGTGAAAGTTATTACTTGAGTGTTCAGTTCCAATAAAGAATGAACGAAATTGACGTTTAGCTAACAAACAAATTTAGCACTAGAAATTAAAGCGACAAGTAAAAAGAATGAAAATAAATGTACGAGGTCCTCGCTCAAAAACCCAAATCTTAAAATTATACACCGTCTCATTAACTATGCCCTTGACTATCTTCAGCATGCCATAGCTTAACTGTGCACGTCCATTTTTAGCCCCACGAGCCGCCCCTGGCGTAGAGTGATTCAAAACAAAAAGACGCGAAATGCTTAGCGACGACGTTGTTCTGCTTCACGACAATACCACTCCTCACAAGTCTGCACAGACCCAAAACCTGTTCGCCTCCTTCAAATGGGAACAGTTGAAGCACCCATCGTACAGCCCAGACCTGGCTCCGAGTGACTTTCATCTGTTCCTGCATTTGAAAAAGTTTTTGGCCGGGCAGGACTTCGACTCAAACGCTGATCTCACAGGAGAGACTGGACATTGACTGACATTGCAGGCGATAGCTTTCCACTTTTCCTTTCACAATGCGGGCATTCAAAAGCTTGGCCCAGGCTACGACAAATGCCTCAACAGTTCTGGTGACTACGTGGAGAAGTAGGAATTCAAAACTAAATCGTTTTGATTAGGAACATTATTTCTTTTATAATGATTTTAAAACGGTACTTACTTTCTGGACGTCCCTCATATCCTAT